AATGTGCTGTTAATTTTCCAAGGGAGAGTGGATTTAGATGGGGGAAGATGGTAAGATGGAGCAGCGTTTCCAGTGGTAATTGGAGCGATTACGAAGGGGGAGAGACACTCCAGATGTTGTTCCTCGTAATATGTAAATGTTATTGTAATCGGAGCATCGACAACGGGATGTAACACGGAAAAATGGGGGAATTTCAATTTTGCTGAAATTGTTCGTCGTATCAAACCTGTCGTTAGAAGTTCAATTATTTAGGAACAACGACTTAAGGAGAACCTTGTGCAAAGTAGATTGTATAAATGTAAATAACTTCAACAGAAATATTGATTCTTTTCATGATTTTTGCCTTTCTTCGGAAATTAAAGAAAGTTTTATTATTAACAATTCCCTCGACAAATTTATAATACGACCAGAATTTGATTTTTTATTTATGTTTCTTTTCATCGTTCTTTGTCATCTTCCAAAGTTTCAATTTATCTATTTTACACAATTCTACTTTCATCGACAACACATTGCAATTCAATACTTTCCTTCTTCGTTTGCATCACATTTACTTAAAAATAAAGTATTATTATTATCACATTCGACACCCAAAAATGGGGTATTATAATTAAGAATTACAATCTGTCCTGACGACAAGATACCTCAATTGTCATCACATTAAGTCAAAACATACCAACACTCTTCGCCATATTAGGTACAGTGTTCTCAACTTAGAGTGTTTCTCTCCTGGCCATCACTGATTGAGTAAATATGTCTCAAGCGAGAAAACTGATATGCAAAGGATGTGGGATAGCGGTAGCAAAGCCTGTCACATGTATATCTTGTGACGTTGCGTCACATCCTGCCTGTGTTCACCGAACTCAGCATCCCTTTTATAAGGGAAAACTGTTAGATTGCGGAGATGATCTGTCACTCACTGCCTCTCCTACCACACCAACTCACGGCATTGTAATATCATCGAATGATGATTTGCTTAAAAAGATCAAGGAACTGCTCGACGCTAAATTCTCCAAACTGGAAAATGAGCTGAGGGTGTTTCAATCAAATCTGGAACTACTAAACAATTTTTTAACGGATCTAAATAATAGAGTTTCAAAATTGGAATGGAATTGCTCTGAAGAGGACGTATTGGAGGAGCTGGCTGAAAGAAATAGGAGATCTCACAATATTATTTTGTTTAATCTGACCGATACTGACGCTACTTCAGACATTTGTGCAGTTAATAGTTTATTACGTGAAACCATTGACAATTTTTCAATTAAAAGACTGGGATGAAAAAATTCCAGTAAAGCTCGTCCTCTCTGCGTTTCTTTTAATTCGCCGAGCATCCCGATTAAAATTCCGAAGAATAACCGTAGATACTCTGGTTCTGCTAGCAACGTGCGTTTTTAAATGATTCGCGTGTGAAGTTGCGTGATACGAACGATCAAAACAAGACTATTAGATACGTCAACGGTACTCCTAAGATTGTTACGATAAACCGACAACAATGAAAAAACTAGCACGGAATTTGCCTATATATTATCATAATGTCAGAGGTTTACGCACGAAATTGAATAATTTACAGCAAGAGGTCGCTTGCTCTTCACTTCAATCTGACGTCCTTATCCTACCTGAACCCTGGCTTACCGATAGTTTTTCTGACAGTGAGCTAGCCTTAAATAACTACACCATTTACCGATGCGACCGATCTAAACAAACTAGTTGATATTACAGAGGAGGCGGCGTTCTTATTGCGATTCGAAACACCTTACGCAGTAGTGGCACTATCAATACCGTTTTCAATGTGGAACACTTATTTGTCGAAGTCACATCTGCAGCTCTTCCCCTAATAATCGGTGTGGTTTATTTGCCTCCGTTAAGTAACGAGACCTTATATAGTGCACACTGTTCTGCTATTTCTGATGTTTTAGACAAATATTCGAACTGCAACTATATTATTTGTGGCGATTATAACCTTCCTCATATCACATGGTCCGGCTCCAACTCATTTCCCGCGAATTCAAATGTTTCCACTAACGAAATTGCATCTGCTGGAATTCTCTCCTCTACTTTTAACTTTTACAATGGATCCCAATGCAACTTTGTGTTAAATTCGTTCGGCAATACTTTAGATTTAATCTTTTCAGACATCGCGTTAACACGTGTTACGTGCTTGTCCGTCCCTTGTTAGAATATGCTTCAATTATATGGTCTCCGAAAAGCTTCAATCACGAAATCATGCTCGAGAGAGTGCGGCATAAATTTCTCAGGTTTCGTTCATATAATCTATATAATCCAATGTCAATCTTTGATCATGATTACTGCACAATATTAAACACAGTCAACCTGGAAACATTGTCTGCACGAAGAAGAATATCCGACCATAGCTTTACTTTTAATTTAATTAATATCCATATTCATTGTCCCTCTCTCCTTATGCAAATCAATTTCTACGTACCTGAACGCGTGTTGAGACCTAGAGCAGGATTACAAATACTTAAATCCAGATCTACATATGGATTAATTAATCCAACAAATCGCATTATTGTTGACTCTAGCACTCTCTATAATCGTATTGATATTTTTAGTGGGTCTTTACACACTTTTAAAAGACAATTACGTAGGATTATCGGATAATGCCATACCTTTTGTACCATGAGTTTTCGTGCATGTCCCTTCTTTGTTATTTTATGTAAAGTCTGTTTTCTTTTGTGTAAACATTTATGTAAGAGGGCTTCGATCCGTTTATAAATAAATAATAATAATAATAAAATTAATCATCTCATCAGGTAGTGAAATATATGTATGTAATTTATTAAAAATCGAAAACTGAGAAACTAGCCTACCAGCCTCCCCTGTCACAGTTTCGATCTTCATAAATAATCGAACACGTTCGAGCTGAACGCTCAACTATCGCAAACGCGTCAATTTCAACCACCGAAACTTCCACACACGATCGAGTATTCCACGAGCTACCGCGTAGAATCCTACCGCGGGAAGTTTCGCGAAAGAGGGAGCTCCAAATATTATTCTTTCCATTAATCTTCCCGATCGGCCGAGATTAATCTGCGATGCAGAAACGAGGCAACTTAAGCGAATCGATTCGAAACTTTACGAAAGCCTTTCATCGACGGCACGCTCGTTGATCACTGTCTCGCAGATGGTATAATAGAATTTCGCGCCCGGACGGGGGCCATTGTCGTCTGGAACGGATCAGAGACGTTGGTTGCGGAATTCTGAATCGCGGGGGTTGCTCTTGCCCGTTGAACGCTTAACCAATTTCGGACCGTTACGAAATATCGGTACGTCCAGACTAATTTTATCGCCGCCCTCCTTCACCCCTTCGCGGCTGTAATTTTGCCACGTTGCATCTGCTCGCGTCGATCAAGGAGATTAGTCCACGTGAATCCTGATAGTTACAGTAGAGCATTACCGAATCTGTTGAAGCATTAACAAGATACCGCACCCGACGTCGGTGAAAATTAATTCGCGGCAATTTCACCGTGTACTCGCGGTGGAAATTTCCAAGCACTACGTTTCATCAACGTACAGGGAGCCCGATGTTTGGTAGCTTCTTTGAACGACTAATGACACGATCGACGCGGTATCGGGGGTTAGGTGCTTTTTGTTTAATGGAACTTCGATTGTGCACAAAAATCGGAAAGAATTCAGTTTCACTTACTTTTCAACACTTTTGCCCACGAATTTGCTACGTAAAACATAACTTCCTCTTTTTACAATTACTTTCCATTTTCCAATAACAAGGAAATCTACCTTTTTGAGTAGTTAGCACGAGGATTGATTCACGTGTAAGGTCTACAAATCCTCCAACATTTCTTCTCAATATTGCAAGTTTATTTTTAAACATAGACACCATTCAGTTCTACACATTTTTCCAAACGCTTTATTCATCTTTTCATCCCGTCCGTGGAAACTGTTTCTGAGTTTGCTTTTGATCAAATTGCACACACCAAATTCAACTTCGATATTGGATGAAAAATGTTGACTTTACACCGTCTCTTTCAATTTCTAAATTCCAAATTCATTTGGCGTGCAAGCTTCTAGTACCAAAAATTCTATCACTGATTGATTTTTCGCGCACACGTCCGCGACGAGACTCGCGGTATGGACCGTGGACTAGCGAAGGTCGTAAATTTTTGCTTGATTAATACCCCGCCGCGATGTGTGGCGATCTCCTAGCGAATTGTTTGAAAGGCCAGGATAATTCCGTTGGACTGAGTTAACACTTAACTAACTATATGTATTTACACTTGAATTACATTAATTAACAATGAAAGTGAGTGACGCGAGACTGGTGGTATGTGTGTGTTCTTGATACTCCTTGGTGAGTATCTTCCCGTGTTTCAAGGTAGACTCTTCCGGTTGGATTCCGGATTTTTACTGTTTTCTCTTGTGGTTGGAATTAGACCGTTTTGCACGGTGTTTCTGCACCGATTAGCTCACGACACGAGCCAATCGTATTCTTCCCTAATTGCCATCGACCTATCCGTGTGTCCGTGACACGCTCCGTGGGGACTAGGCGATGACAAGAGGGGGTGAAGGTCAGCAAATGTTTAAACATTTGAAACCACAACGGGAAGTTCCACCAGGCCTGGGACTCGCGACGTACTCGGGCCTCTGTCCCGAAGCCCTTTAGAAACTCACGTTCTATGACACGTACAATTAACTGTTGAGGTTGTAAACGACGTTTAGGAAAAGGAAACTATTCCATAAGGGATTAATGAATAAAGGGACATTCTCAAAAACAGCTTTCTAACTTTGTCTTTGTCTAACTAACAGTTTCTTCCTTTGTCCAGATTGCTAGCCGCTATGGAACAAATGCTTAAAGCGGGTGAAAATCAAAACGGCGTGTCTTCTAAATAATATTCCGCGGGTGGTCCGCGGAACACTGATCGCTACTATATTTCAAAAGTCGAACAAAAATTTTATCACTGATCACACATTATCCCGTCTAAGGGCGTCCGGGGACCGGCGACCCCCCGGGAAAAGCCCGTTACCGAGAGGAGTGAGGTCCCTCAACTGGAAGTGGTGTTGGTGTCCACCCACGAACATCCCACCGATGATGTAGACGGTACCTCGGGCCGGCCGGCCTTTCCAAGCCATGTCGGGGGCTGTGGCGGGCATTCCGCCCTCCCCTGACCATCCGGGCTGGGCCAGCAGGGGCTTGTGCCAGCGTGGCGCTCGCACCTGCGGCCCCAGCACCGGGGACTGGCCGGGTTTGGTGTAGGATTCGAGGTGGCAGTGGTTAGGCCACATGCTGGCCAGGGGCCCTTTTTCCAGGCTCCGACGTGTGAGTTGCGAACAACTCCGGGACCAATCTGGAGAATTGGTTGGAAAGTCGCTCCGTGCCACCCGTAACGTGGGGATTCCTCCTCACAAGTGGCCCTTGGACGGGTAGGTGTTCAACCTGTACCCTTCGAGGGTCTAGTTGGGCGTATCCTAATCCTCCGCCATTGGGGGCCGTCTGGGTTTACGGCGAAAGCTTGGCACCGGACGTAAAACTACTAGACTTCGTGATCACACATTAAACTGAAACTAAGCATATGTAAAACTTCCTTGTATCTCTATATCTATCGATAGTAGGAAATCTAACTTATCACAATCAACCCTTACAATTTCATTTGACAAGAATTGATATCAGATCGAATTTTTCTCGGTCAATTGTTCCAAGAGAAGCTAAGAATTATTAAAGGAAAAATTTGTAGAAGGATCCAGTGTAAGTAACTCGGATAACATCCACGAGAAAACGTAAACGCAAGATAACTCGGCTCGTTAAGCGACACTCTGTTTCGTCACACCTACGGGCGCATTTCCTAGTAATTAAAATCATGTCTCCGATCCACTGATTGGTTGTGGCGGACAAACGAGCTTCCAATATCGAAGTTACAGGAGTTTTGATTAATCGCCTTGGGCAAAACGAGGCGCACGGCCCGTGCCAATTATCACCATCGGTTGTGAGAAACAACTATTGCCGAGGTGGAGCCGCTCGAACCCTTATAACTGTCCAAGATGACGTGGACGAGTTATCATAATCGGTTTTGGCTCGATGCCGAACATCCATGCTACCGGAAATCCGATTTCGATCTTCGCCTAGCCGCAATTTGCGCAAAAATCCTGTACTTGGAACACGAATATCCATAAACTTTGTACTCGAGAATTTCACCTTGTAATCGGTGTAACCTAATCGCTAAACCGGCATTAACATACCTATTTAACCGAGGAAATAGAGAGATGTTCGATTTATCTATCATATCCAAAAAAAAGTACTATTTGCAAAAAAATTGCAACGCCTTAAAAATGAAATCGTACAAATCTGAAATTTGCATATTGAAAGGGAAGAGTAATTAAAATACGGTTAAAATAGGTTTTATTCTTAAAAAGAGATCGCTTTTTCCTTAGAATAATGTAAATTCGAAATTTCTGCAACCCGAATTTCCAGCAACTTTTACGTCGAACAGCGTGTAATCAGAATTACAATTGTTAATTCGGTATTTAACAAGAAACAATGGGTGATAATGCTGAACGAACTCCGCGCGCCTGAAATTACCAATCGAATAAATTTTACATTCTGTCAAGTGTCCGCTGAAAATACGGTTACGAGCCATCAAAATTCCCGTATAACAGCGACAGCCCTCTCCTCCACATGTTCGCGCAATTAAACAAAACGTGTTAACGAAGTGTTCGTCGAACAGCGTAAAAGCACCGCGCCAATGAAAAGCCAAATATTTACGATTTTTCCAATCATTTGGCAATCTGATCGTTCTTTTGGCGCGGCAAATACTCGCGACACGCGAAAAACGTTCGCTCCTCGAGATTACACGATCGAACGATCGCCACGTAGAACAATAATCTCGTGAAACACGTATCGTATGGTCCACCGTATATGTTCTACTAGAAAACGAGAGAGAGAGAGAGAGAGAGAGATGCTTGAGGGCAAAAACAGGGAAGAAAAATGGAAAATGACGAGAAAAATGGAGAAATTCCTTTTCGTTGATCGAACGCTATTAAATGTCAACGATCGTCGGAACCTTTACCAAGGGATAGTTATAAATGCGAGCAGGGCTTTACTCGTGGGACGTGGATCGTCGATACAAGTGGCCGGCCCCATAAATTCGCTCCGTGAAGGATAAACCGAGCATCAGCGATTCCCATCGTGAGAATAGGACGTCTGACGAGCCAAAGAATTCCGTCTGTCCGTTCTCCCGCGCGATACACGGCCAATTTAGAGTTGTGAAAATGCACATTTTTATGAGAGCCCTCGGTGATATTTTGTTGGTATTTGGCCGGTGTCGCTTGCTACGGCGAGATTCCATTTTAGAGAGGAGTTTCACCAGGCTTGGAGGAAGGAAGCTCGTTGAAAGAGAATGTTGTGTTGGAAGTGTCAGCGAGGAATGATACGATGTCGTAGAATTTCGTTTATTTAATAACTGATTTTATTGTTACTAATATACACGTGCGACGATCAGAATTAGGGTTTGGCTTCGTCGGTAAAAATTACTATCGCTCGTTTCTGTTGCGAGAGTGTGGGTATCGGAGGTTTAATTGGTTATCGGAAGGATGGAGGTGGAAATTCTAGAAAGTTGGGATTTTTGGGAAGGGCGTAATTTATGGCGGAGGCCCTTGAAGCCCGCGGACTAGCTAATCCTCAAGTTTTTGCCGAAGTTACGTACAATGACTGTCGTTTAACCCTAGAGCGGTCTTCGGGTCTTTTTTGACCCACCGCCTTTTTACATTTTCACTAATTTTTGCTGTTATCAAGTTTACGTTCCTTAACATTATTTTAAACGTTCATTGTCTAGGTTCATATGTCACGTTGGAAACAAAAATTATTACGCATAAGGTCTTAGGTCCTTTTTCACCCAAAAGCCTTAAGTGTACAGTCGAAACGAAGAACGCAATAGGGTTAAAGTCGTACACCTAACGGTTCGGCCGTTTTTTCCTTTTCAATAAAACGTGACAATTGTACTGAATGATTAAAACCCGTACGCAGGCATATAGTTTAATGCTTCGTTACTTGACATATAGCAAAACTGTAAGAAAATGGTTAGTAATACTTAGTAAATTAGATAAAATTTGTCGTTACGTATGAAACTTAACTGTGAGTGAAAGTCGTACAGAAAGAAATAGATAGATTTTTACAATAATATGTAACATAAATAACGTATATTAATATTTTGTAGGGTAACCAAATGCATTTTCAACACATTTTAGTCGTCGAGGAACTGATTTTACCAAATTTTCACAAAATTGAGGTGTTATAGTGACTCTTACTAATACTCGGACACTCTTTAGAACAGTATAATTTTTTTTTAAATTGGATCAAACGACTTGAGTTTTTTTGAGAAGTTAGAAGGATTAGTATACCAGATGACGTGTGTAAAATTTTTTGAAAATATTGCAATTTGTGGGAATCACGAAGAAAACTGTAAAGGTCACTGTTTACAACTCTTTTACCTGAGCTTGTAACGAAAATTTGAAACAATTATAGGCCGAACGTCGTGAAATAGTGCGATTTTCACAATCTTTAACGATTTGTAGCTCGTAGTAATGTTAACCGATTTCTATCAAATTTTCAAATTTATAATTGGCATAGATCTACAAAACGTATCTTTGAAATTTTCATTACGGGCTCGGATAAAAAAGTTCTCGAATGTGACCTTTACAATTTTCTTCGCGATGCCCACAAATTGCAATTTTTCAACAAATTTTATACGCGTCGTCTAGTATACTAATCCTTCTCGGTTAAGTCCAATTTTAAAAAAGTTATACTGTTCTAAAGGATGTCCGAATATTAGTAAGAGTCACCCTATGTAGCTAACCGTTTCTCTTGCAAAGCTTTTCTAAGACTTTCCTTATTTGTAATATCGTGTAATCGCATTTTCCTGCCTAATTCGTTCCACACATGTTCAATTACATTCGTATCAGGTGATTGGGGAGGTGTTCGCGAAAAATCGGCCGAATCGCTAGGTGTACGATTTTAAGTGACAGTCTCTGTACGTTCTGTGGGTTCGAGGAATCGGAAAGAAAACAACGGTGACATTTTCCAGAACTCTTAAAAGAGAAATATTTGGAGTATCTAACAACAATGTACAATTTTATTTCATTTCTTCTTTTGGAATGTTTGTTTTTCGTTTCGTTACATGGCAAACGTTGTTATTTAAGAATCAACGGGGTGGAAATTAAATTGCCGGAGACAATCTGGAATTGTCGATTGGAGAGTCATTCATCTCGAAATAAAATTAGCCGTGTATGTACAGCGTGTAGTAATATTTTTCTCTGCCCATTGAAAGGCAGTCACGAAATTCGTTCCATTACCGAACAATCTTGCCTTCCTTTTGTCCGACTGAATGGAACACGAAATGCAAATTTCAGACGCGTCGTTCGCCTCTCCCTCTTTTTCCCGGTTTTTCCTTTTTTCTCTGTCCCCGTTACTATATTCAATAATGTCTAAACGTTCTTCCATTGAAATTGTCCCGTAGACGTGAGCGTTATACGCGACGTTTTTCAAATACATTGTAATCGTCGTATCCGCCTGTCGGTATCGGCAGAGGCATCGATGTATCGGGCCAAGTTGAGCTAGCGATAAATATTTGTGAAAATAGCTCCGATAACGGGCTTGTAGTTTAGTCGAAGGCGGGAGACGCCTGTGATCGGCATTTTCGAAGGCGCGGAAAGCATCGCGATCGATGGGCTTGTCGTCGATAAAAGCGAACAGCAGCTCGAAATTTGGAATAATTGCAGTGTCGTGAAATGCTCGCCTCTGCTTATGTAGTTTGGAAGAAAGCGATAAACGAGAAAGTTGGAGCTAGAGTCGCGATGAAGACGAAATTCACCGGCGTGTAGGCTGATTTTAGGGAGAGAAGCTGAAAAATGGCGCGCGTTTGCGGCGGGAGAAAGAGGAAGAGTGAAAGAAAGAGCCTTCCTAGCGAATAGGGGTGTGTTATGTGAATACGTGAAGCAGAACGCGTGGTTAAACAGAACGGAGGGTGATTCTACGTGTAAAAATGAACCGAAAATGTGGAATACAATTTTATCATGAGAAGTTTAATTTTCAAAAAAATTGAATTTGAAGATTCTGGTGTACGCGTGCACGATTCTTTTATTTTTTTTTTTGGCTGTAGAAGATTGTGCTATCTTCTTTATAGACTGCTTCTTTGCGAAATGTGACATTACCGCTGTGTAGCAATGTAACAGCATGAATTGAAGCAACAGTTTGTAGGGAATCTTGAAATTGAATCTTCTCGAAAATTAAGCTC